TTGTCTTGAGGCACTGGTTTCCAATAGGTCCAATACCCACTCATTTGGACGTTGACCTATATCGATGTAGTTCTTCTCTCAAATTCCAAAAAAAACATACTTGTAGGCTAATGGGCATCTACCTAGAATTGGCATCGGAGTTTGTTAAGGTGCCCATACACCTGCCGATTATCGTACGATAATCGGCAGGTGTATGGGCAGCGTGCGACCGCATCTACTGTACGGTCGCACGTCTTTTGTCTTCCGAGCACGCTGGAAAACCTGCCGGAAATCGTAAGATTTTCGTCGGGTTGGTGGCGTGCTCGGAAGACAAATGCCGAACGGGCCCGGTGTGCGCAAGCGCACACCGCCCGCTCAGCATTTCAGTCTTCGGAAGCCCTTCCCTCAGCGGGGAGGGCTTGCGATGATCGCAAGTACGATCTGCCTGTCCAAAATTTTAATGACCTTACAGCCATGGCGCAACGAAAGTCGTGCGATGGTTGTAGGGTGTATGGCCAGCTCTAGGATGATCACTGTAGATCATGGGATAGTAAACAAAGCACAGGCTACTGGGAAGTGCTAAGAGGTATGGTGCTATAGGTTGGCTATTCTCTGCCTCAGCGGGACACTACGACATGGTGAATAGCTGGGCACGGAGCGTAGCAACCGGCACAGATAGCGATGTACTTAATGCTACCGGATTCCATACAATTGCAAAAGCCATTAGCACAGGGGTAACCTTTTTTTTTCATTCATTTTCATTGAGAAGGGTGCCTATAGGGTGGCCACGGTTTGAGAAAAAGCAAAAGTCACAAATGGATGTCATGCTCACTCACTCACAATGAATAGGCCATGTGAAGTGAGTGAGGATGAGATCCATTGTGACATTTGCTTTTTATTTCAAATTGTGGCCGCCCTGATTCTATGGCTGGGCACACACCTTACAACTATCGCAAGACTTTTGCGCACATCAGCCCGCCCGGCTTTTATCTTACGAACATGCTACACACCCGCCGAACATCGTACGATGCTCGGCGGGTTTTCATGTTCGTAATACAACCATCGCAAGACAAAAGTCTTGCGATGGTTGTAAGGTGTGTGCCCAGCCTTCCTAAGATAAAAATCGTGCGACCTGACAGTAGCAGAGGTCGCACGGCTTCCACACACCTTACGATAATCGTACGATCGCGGGATTTCCCGCGATTATCGTACGATTGTCACAAGGTGTGTGGGCACCTTATAGCTGTCATGAAAGCCTTTGTCTTATTGCTACCTAGCTGCAACTCATTACGGGCTAATTTTGTAAAAGGCACAAATTGTGCAGCGAGTGATTTACATAGGTTCCTGTCCTCCAGAATTCTCAACCTAATTGATGTTAAGTTCCTGTCTGGTGTCTGCACTTTAGGCACTGTTCACACCTGAACGTTTTGTAGCGCGTTCGACGCTCGACGAACGCTCTACAAAACGCTCAAAAATATAAATCCCATTCTATTCAATGGTCTCGTTCCCACCTCGGCGTATTTCCGTCCGTCCCTAACGCGCTACAAAACGGCCCACGCCTGAAAAGGTACAGGTGCTACTTTGGGCCGTTTTGTCGCGCGTTTCCATTGGGATACAGCCAAGTAGCCTTCGGAAACGCGCGTTTGCACGATTTTTTTTACCGCGAACAGTGGTAAAAAAAACACGCGACAGGCGCGCATATGCAATACGCCTAGGTGTGAACGAGACCTTATAGCTCCGACAATGAATCCGCTTGCACTTTGACAGCCCTACATCCTAATTCTGAACAGCCATGCGGTGTCTGCATGACAGGTGTATCAGGGTCTCCATATCAGTAGCTATAGTTAGAGACCAGCTAGCGTGTTTGTTGCCTTAGCCTCCTCCAGAGATGGCTCTCTCTCTATTTCCTAGTCTTTGTTGTGTTATCACTCTGGTTTCTGTGTTCTGGTCTCCATCCCATAGAGACCTCTGATAAGCTGTGAGTTTAGAATTCCTTTGGGAGGGGACGGATCTGTTTAGGAGTGGTTTCTATGTAATGCGTTGGCCACAGACCTTCCCGCCTGCTGGTCCGCCTGCTGTCCGGGGACCTGCTCTCTCCCAGTCTGCCCATTGTCACTCCATCTTTTGTCTCCCTGCGATATGCACTGCAAAGAATAGGCAAAATGAACTTGGGTTTTGTCAGCTGAGGGCGTTTGCTCATCTGTATTAACCTTTGAGCAGCTTTTTGGGGGGGGGGATTGGAAACCTTCTCAATGAAAATGAATTAAAAAGGTTACCCCTGTGCTAATGGCTTTTGCAATTGTATGGAATCCGGTAGCATTAAGTACATCGCTATCTGTGCTGGTTGCTACGCTGTGTGCCCAGTTATTCGACACGTCGTAGTGTCCCGCTGAGGCAGAGAATAGCCGACAGCTTCCAGCACAGAGAATTCTCTTGTCTAAGCCGGGGGTAAAGGGTAGCGAGGCCTGCGCTGCTATTGCCCTTGATACGTCTAGATTATGGATGAAGCTATGGTATAGAAATCCTCTGCGCACAGTGGGGAGCGTAGATGAAGAGGGTTGGAGTGGGGAGGGTGTAGCGCTGCCAGCTATGTACCTGCTCTGTATATAAATGGAGTAGTTGACAGAGCGGAGAATTGGCAAAACAAAGAAGAGAGGGCACGCCAAGGTCACGAGAACATGCGAAGAAACAGAATATGTAATGAGCCTTTTCATGGGCACACAGGGAGGCTGTTCAAAAAGTTGCAGTGTTTCGGGGGCACGGGGCCGCACGCAGAAAAATAATACCATAAAATTGAACAACTTCCTTATCCGTGCCTTCTTTGTACATAATAAAGTGGGATCTCCTAAGGCTTCTGACCTCTGCTGACCAACCTTTGACGACATGCACCACCTGATGCCCTGCCATTCTCAAAGGCATAGCTGGACATAGTAGCGTCGCCTTCAAGAGCTGGTCAATCAAGTTGAAGAGCCAGAAGGCACTTTTAAGGAGTTGCGGAATCCAAGTGCAACTACTACTAGGCGCTCCCTTAATACTAGGGATGCACCGATACCACTTTTTTAAGACTGAGTACCGATACTTTTGATCAAGTACTCGCAGATACCAATTACCGATACTTTTTTTTTAAAGGGACTGGTCACATTTTTTTCTAAAGCAATACAAACTAATGCTTTACGGTCACTTTCCTAATATTATGATTCATGAGATGACGAGGGAGCATGACGCCGGCTTCCCAGCCAAGCAGAATGCTGGGCGCTGCGTCATTACACGCCGCTAGGCTTCCGGATTTGCTAGCTTCCTGACCAAGCGGGAAGCCGGCTCCATGCTCGCTCATCACAAGTGACGAGAGAACATGGAGCCGTTTCCTGGCCAATCAGGAAACTGGGCAGCGTGTAATGATGCGCTGCCCGGCTTCCTGATACAGGAAGTACTCGTGCTAGGCATCGGAGCATTTGGGCGAGTACGAGTACTCTGTATCGGCACCCATACCGATACTAGTATCGGTATCGGTGCATCCCTACTTAAGACTCATCTCTTCAGGGAAGTCTATCCCACCTCAACCTAACCACTGAACCATCACGTTCTCAGAGAATTCATCCCCACACAGCTCCCTCCTCATGTTTCACTTGCCCCTCCCCTTTTAGATTGTAAGCCCTCAGGGGCAGGGCCCTACTTACCATCTTGTCTTGAATTGTATTGTGACTGTAATGTCTTCCTTATATTGTAAAGCGCTGCGCAAACTGTTGTCGCTCTATAAATCCTGTATAATAATAATAATACTATTAGATAAGGCTCATAGAAGATATGTGCCACCTTCATTTAGTTTTAGATGGAGTGACTTCCTAGCCTGCTCTCGGTCAGTGAGGTCGCTCACTAACTGAATCTGACAAGGCAGGGAATGTCAATATTATTTTCCCCCCAAAAATTGAGGAGACCAAATTACAGTCACTGAATTTAAATTGGCAGTTTTTAAACCCAAATCCGCCGTCAGATTATTAAGAAATTGAAAGAGCGGGTTGTATCGACCAGCTAAAGTTTTTTTTTTTTGTATCTGCCCAGAATAGTCTACGAATTAGCAGAAGCACTGGCACAACAGACGCTGGTATTGTGTGACGTGGCTCGTGCGCCAAGTTATTCCTGGGTGGTAGTTGGCTTGTCAGAGGTTAATTGCATTGTAGCGACACTTGGGAGTCTTTCTACAGTTGAGGCACAGTTGTCCACATTCTGCCTCCAGCTCTCGGTTCCAGGTACTGCTGGGTCCTCCTTCCCTCTTCTGCCCCTCTCTCCACCCTCATACCTCAGCTTTCTCCATTACCCCTCCTTAACTCTCCTCCTCCTCCTCCTCCTCCTCTTTGTTGGCTTATTGTGTTGTCTCTCAGGTGTTTGGCTTTTTCCTAGAGAAAAGCCTCGTCTCATTGTGGTTCTTCTTGCACTCTCTCTCCCTCGTTGCAACTAATAAGGATCAGGTAGTGCGTTGTGTCCTTTTTTTTTTTTCCCTTTCCTTTAATGTTCTCTCCTCCCTCATACCTCTGGCTGTGTTGGCCCTCCCTCTGTGCGTACTCTTATTCGCTCTCTTTAAACCCCCCTCCTTCTCCATTTCTGTCTTCCCTGTCCCTCTTTCTGTCTTCCCTCCTCCAGTCTCCAGTGTGTGTCTCTTCCCCCCCTTCTCCTTCAACACTCCAACAGAATTGAAAGTGGAGCTGTCAGGTTGTGTCACAGCGGAGCCTCCCTCGCACTGTCTTACTTTTGCTCTGCACACACAGGCGGCACAAGCACAGTGGCACTTTGTTTAGGCTGCGTTGTGTTGTCACTTTCCAGCCCCCCCTTCCGATGACCCTTCTGCTCCTGCACCAGGAACTGTACAGAAGGAAAGAGATTGGCTGCCTGGAATCCTGGGACTGCAAGCACCTGCACGCTGTCACCAGTGTTTTGATGGATATGCCCACCCACACCTACCTGGCAGCCCCGTGATATCCTCGCCTGAGTCGTCTCCGAACCTATAGGCGGAACCAGAATAGACCAACCTTCTTTCTATACATACCTGCCAACACCTGTTCCTCTTTACCTGCGAAAAGGGGTTCATCTGACGGTTCGAATGTCGCCTTCACTGACTATGCATCCTTCTCGTAATGTACGGATCGAGGTGGTACAAAGTCATATCAGCTGATTGGGGTTATCTACATCCTCTTACCTTTGCACACCTTCATTCGAAAGCCCGCAAAGGTAAGTACCGGGTTTGCGTGTTATGTGTGGACTCTGATCAAGTTAGTTATTTTTTTCCGCTGCTATGGTTTGGCTGCAGATCACTGAAAGCAGAGCGATTTTGTAGCAGAGCACCACCGACCCAATGCTGCAGCTCTAGTTGAACTTCTTCACTTCTTATATAGCGATTAAATCGCTGGCTACCGATCGCTCTTAATAGCCGGCATTAGATATCTGTAGCCGTGATTTATTACTACCAGTCTGACATGGACCTAAAGTTTTCCTGAATATTAGGGAAAACTTTTATGGTTTTATTTTTGCATCTTCTTGCCCTGATGAAGGGACCCTGCGTGGCCCCCCCCCGAAAACGTTGGCTGTTTTCCCCCGTGACTTTGTCCTAATAAAATGGACATATTTAATGATATTGCTGAGTGCTGGTGATCCTTTATCCTCTTCCTTTTATGGGTTTACAACTTTTTGTTAGTTTTTGCTTTCTTTTACATTCACACCTGAGTATTAAAAAGCAAATAAAAGAGTCATTCCTCTATCTAGTTTGTTCAGTTGTCTCATGAATCCACGGCATCGCATTGTTATTCTAAAACAGGACAATGAAATCAGAATAATTGCGCAATGTATGGGATGCCCCGTTTTCTTTTTCTATTACCCCTCCGCAGGCTATTGAAGTATCATAGTTACATAGTTACAATAGTATTTGGGGTTGAATAAAGACATACGTCCATCAAGTCCAACCCATGAATCCATAGAAGTAATTTAGAAACGGGCTTTTAATTTTCCCCGAGTGATTAAGGGAGTAAATGGAACAGTGTTTTTTGAGCGCAAATTTTGTAAGCGGCTGCGGATATCTAAAAACAGACCCATTTGGGGCAATTGCGAATTATGAACACAGTTCATTGGACAGCCTGCGCAGGCCTAATGCAGCCCATCAAGTCCAACCCATGAATCCATAGAAGTCATTTAGAAACGGGCTTTTAATTTTCCCAAAGGGAGTAAATGGAACAGTGTTTTCTGAGCGCAAATTTTGTAAGGGGCCGCGGATATCTAAAAACAGACCCATTTGGGACAATTGCGAATTTTGAACACGGTTCGTTGGACAGCCTGTGCAGGCCTAATGCAGCAAAACGGGTCACGGATGCCGTTATGACAAAAGTTTATTATCTTGCCGTCCTGTCTTCAGATACCAAATGTGTTTGAAAGTTTCAGCTACACTTTATGTTGGCCGTGTAGACATCAAATGACAGTGCACTATCCAGCCCCCAAACTCTTATTTTTATTTACAGACCTGTAGGTTCATTTCGTAGATGTGTCATTGTTATACACCACGGTGACACTTTCCTGTTGAGGAGATTTTGCCTATCACCCGGGAAAACAGGACGAGATCTGTTCACTGACGGTGAGGGCTGTAGGTAGCCAAAGTCTTTAAGTCTAGTTAATGATCATCTATGTCCATGGTTCCTGTTGGGGAGTTATTGCCCATCACCTGGCAAAACCTATCCTGGCTGAGATCCGTTTACTGATGGCGAGGGCTGTAGGTATCAAACTCATCGCCTAGTTAATGATCATCTACGTCCAGGGTTCCTGTTCGATAATGATTGCCTATAACATGGCAAAACCTATCCTGGCTGAGATGGTGAGGGCTGTAGGTACCCAAAGTCGTCAAGTCTAGTTAATGCTCATCTATGTCCATGGTTCCTGTTGGGGAATTATTGCCTATAACCTGGCAAAACCTATCCTGGCTGAGATGGTGAGGGCTGTAGGTACCCAAAGTCGTCAAGTCTAGTTAATGCTCATCTATGTCCATGGTTCCTGTTGGGGAATTATTGCCTATAACCTGGCAAAACCTATCCTGGCTGAGATCCATTTACTGATGGTGAGGGCTGTAGGTACCCAAAGTCGTCAAGTCTAGTTAATGATCATCTATGTCCATGTCTCCTGCTCTGGAATTATTGCCCATCACTCGGGAAAACCTATCCTGGCTGAGATCTGTGTACCGATGGTGAGGGCTGTAGGTACTAAAAGTCGCCAAGTCTAGTTAATGATCATCTATGTCCATGTCTCCTGCTCTGGAATTATTGCCCATCACTCGGCAAAACCTATCCTGGCTGAGATCTGTTTACCCACGGTGAGGGCTGTAGGTACTAAAAGTCGTCAAGTCTAATTAATGATTATCTATGTCCCTGGTTACTGCTGCGGAATCATTGCCTATCACCCGACAAAACCTATCCTGGCTGAGTTCTGTTCGCTGATGGTAAGGGAGGGCTGTGGGTACCCAAAGTCGTCAAGTCTAGTTAATGATCATCTACGTCCATAGTTCCTGTTGGGAAATTATTGCCCATCAAATGGCAAAACCTATCCTGGCTGAGATCTGTTCACTGAGGGCTGTAGGTAGCCAAAGACGTCAAGTCTAGTTAATGATCATCTATGTCCATGGTTCCTGTTGGGAAATGATTGCCTATCAACCAGGACAAAACCTTTCCTGGATGAGATCCATTTACTGGAGCTTAGGTACCCAAAGTCATCGGGTCTGGTTAATGATCGTCTATGTCCATGGTTAAGTCTCCATTGAAGCGTTATGGCTTTCTATTATTCTCCAGCTTGCTTTTAGTTTTTGTGCAACTTTACTCTTACAAGTCAGAGAACTGCCCGCGTGTGACTTTTCGGTGTGAATTAGGAATGCTGGGGGCAAAGCCGTGCTTTTTCTTTGCTAGCTCGGTACATTTAAAAAGAAGGCCTCTGGAGCTCGTGTGTAAATCATTGTTCTTGAATGCTAATATCCTGCTGCATAAATCTCACAATCCTTTCCCATCCACTTTTTTGGTTACTAATATTCAGAGCTTTGTTCCTTTGCTCACTCTTGCTGCGCCGGCATTGCTTGCGTTCATCTGTTCTGTCCTACAAGTACGGTAGCTTTTCAGCTGCACTTTTTTTTTTTCTTCTGCTGGCTGTGTCTCCATTCACACCCTACCAATGTGTCATACTCTTGACTTGTCCTTCTCTCACCTTTTTGTAGTTGACAAGTACATCTCCCTCTACAAGTCTCCACCCTGTTTAGTCATCCTGAAGCTTTGCTCTATCCCTCCATCCCTCCCCTGCACAGCTCTCACTTTCTCTCTCTCTCTCCCTTTCTCTCTCTCTCACTCTCTCTCCCTTTCTCTCTCTCTCCCTTTTCTTTCTCACTCTCTCTCCCTTTCTCTCTTTCTCTCTCCCCCTCTCTCTCTCCCTTTCTCTCTCCCTCTCTCTCTCCCTCTCTCTCTCTCCCTCTCTCTCTCTCCCTCTCTCTCTCTCCCTCTCTCTCTCTCCCTCTCTCTCTCTCCCTCTCTCTCTCTCCCTCTCTCTCTCTCCCTCTCTCTCTCTCCCTCTCTCTCTCTCCCTCTCTCTCTCTCCCTCTCTCTCTCTCCCTCTCTCTCTCTCCCTCTCTCTCTCTCCCTCTCTCTCTCTCCCTCTCTCTCTCTCCCTCTCTCTCTCTCCCTCTCTCTCTCTCCCTCTCTCTCTCTCCCTCTCTCTCTCTCCCTCTCTCTCTCTCCCTCTCTCTCTCTCCCTCTCTCTCTCTCCCTCTCTCTCTCTCCCTCTCTCTCTCTCCCTCTCTCTCTCTCCCTCTCTCTCTCTCCCTCTCTCTCTCTCCCTCTCTCTCTCTCCCTCTCTCTCTCTCCCTCTCTCTCTCTCCCTCTCTCTCTCTCCCTCTCTCTCTCTCCCTCTCTCTCTCTCCCTCTCTCTCTCTCCCTCTCTCTCTCTCCCTCTCTCTCTCTCCCTCTCTCTCTCTCCCTCTCTCTCTCTCCCTCTCTCTCTCTCCCTCTCTCTCTCTCCCTCTCTCTCTCTCCCTCTCTCTCTCTCCCTCTCTCTCTCTCCCTCTCTCTCTCTCCCTCTCTCTCTCTCCCTCTCTCTCTCTCCCTCTCTCTCTCTCCCTCTCTCTCTCTCCCTCTCTCTCTCTCCCTCTCTCTCTCTCCCTCTCTCTCTCTCCCTCTCTCTCTCTCCCTCTCTCTCTCTCCCTCTCTCTCTCTCCCTCTCTCTCTCTCCCTCTCTCTCTCTCCCTCTCTCTCTCTCCCTCTCTCTCTCTCCCTCTCTCTCTCTCCCTCTCTCTCTCTCCCTCTCTCTCTCTCCCTCTCTCTCTCTCCCTCTCTCTCTCTCCCTCTCTCTCTCTCCCTCTCTCTCTCTCCCTCTCTCTCTCTCCCTCTCTCTCTCTCCCTCTCTCTCTCTCCCTCTCTCTCTCTCCCTCTCTCTCTCTCCCTCTCTCTCTCTCCCTCTCTCTCTCTCCCTCTCTCTCTCTCCCTCTCTCTCTCTCCCTCTCTCTCTCTCCCTCTCTCTCTCTCCCTCTCTCTCTCTCCCTCTCTCTCTCTCCCTCTCTCTCTCTCCCTCTCTCTCTCTCCCTCTCTCTCTCTCCCTCTCTCTCTCTCCCTCTCTCTCTCTCCCTCTCTCTCTCTCCCTCTCTCTCTCTCCCTCTCTCTCTCTCCCTCTCTCTCTCTCCCTCTCTCTCTCTCCCTCTCTCTCTCTCCCTCTCTCTCTCTCCCTCTCTCTCTCTCCCTCTCTCTCTCTCCCTCTCTCTCTCTCCCTCTCTCTCTCTCCCTCTCTCTCTCTCCCTCTCTCTCTCTCCCTCTCTCTCTCTCCCTCTCTCTCTCTCCCTCTCTCTCTCTCTCTCTCTCTCCCTTTCTCTCTCTCTCCCTTTTCTTTCTCACTCTCTCTCCCTTTCTCTCTTTCTCTCTCCCCCTCTCTCTCTCCCTTTCTCTCCCCCCTCTCTCTCCTCTCTCCCTTTCTCTTGCCAAAGCATATGAGGAGGTTATATGGAATGGAGGGGGCTAGTGGAATATTGTTAGGGGTATAGAATGATATGAGGGGAATAGGTAAAGTCCAGGGACATTATCAGGAGTAAAGGATAATATAAAGGGGGATGGGGTGAGTCCATGCTCTCTCGCAACGATTAATTAGGGAACCTTGATTACTGTTCGGTTGAACCAGTGCTGTCATCCTTTTAAATATTAAGAGGTGGTGGTTGCTCTCTTGTACACGAAGCTGAGAAAAGCCAAACTGACAGATCGGCATTCTTCCTTTTCTAAAGCCAGAAATGGTGCCTCTGCCAAAAAAAAGAGAGCAATTAGACTCTTAACCCTTTGCGTGATCGATCGAGGGGATTGCCATCAGTGTGAGCAGTATAGCAAAAAGTTAAAACAATTGTGCTTTTAACATTATCAGGTCATTACTATGCAGCTATAAAGGGTTACAAACGCTTTATTTGTGGTCCCGCAGTCACCGGTGTGTTATTTAAGTTGGGCGTGAGTGTTAGCTTTTTTTTTTTGGTTGTTTGCTTGCAAGCAATTTGACCATTCGGTGACCCTTTTTTTCCCCCCTACTCTTCATACAACCTGCTAATCAATTGTACAAACGCTGCTCTAGATTGTCCCGGCTTATCTCTGTATCACAACAAAGTACAACGGGAATCATCTGACTTCAGTGGCGTCACGCGGGGGGTGCGGCCCGCACCCGGGTGACACCATTGGAGGGGTGACACCAAAATGACTCACAGTCATTTTGGTGTCACCCCCCTCTGAAAAGTCGGGCGCTCGGTCATGGACCGAACGCCCGGCAGTATCAGGAGAGAGGAGGGGACCCGGCGGCATACCTCATCCCGCCGGGTGGCTGTCTCCTCCTCTCTCTCTGCCGGCGTCCATCACCAAGATGGCCGCCGGCAGGTATCAGAATACTGCCGCGCATGCACGGTGACGTCTCGGCGGGGTGACACTCGGACACCGCTCCGGGTGTCACCCAGCCTCAGGACGCCCCTGTCTGAATTTTACCAACCTGTTTAACATTATTATTATTATACAGGATTTATAGAGCGCCAACAGTTTGCTCAGCGCTTTACAATATAAGGAAGTCATTACAATCACAATACAAGACAAGATGGTAAGGAGGGCCCCGCCCCTGAGGTACTACATCTGTGGGTTGGATATTGGAGCGACAGCATGTCATCTGTTTTGTAGGGCAAATAGCAGCGTTTAAAGCGTCGTAACCCCTGGCAACCAATCAAAACTCCTCCGTCCCTAAGCTGTTGAAAAGTACAATCTGATTGGTGGGAAGCAGGAGGGCTGACAAAAAGGGAAACAAAAAAAAGGGGGTAAATGCCTCCTTCGTCACTCTTATTTTGACAAATGAGGGCTGGCACTGATGGGGCCTCCTATAGCGCGGCTTGCACATAGACAAAACACCAAGTGCATGGCCATTGTACGTAAGTTTGATGCCGGCCGCAGGTCCGTATAAACATCTTGCAGGTCTCGCTACCGTTTTTCCAGTAAGAAAATGAAGAAACAGACGCAACCATCCTTTAGGAGGTTAGGAAGGTACTAACCACCTAGGGTATTATCATATCGGTATACTTCTACATCATTGTGATTACTGCGGTGGTGCTATACTATAATTGCCCAAAAGTAGCCGAGCCTTCAGTGTTGAGTTGAAGTGTCCAGCTATGGGTCTCGTAGTGATTTCTCATGTCCAGCTATGGGTCTCGTAGTGATTTCTCATGTCCAGCTATGGGTCACGTAGTGATTTCTCGTGTCCAGCTATGGGTCTCGTAGTGATTTCTCATGTCCAGCTATGAGCCACGTAGTGATTTCTCATGTCCAGCTATGGGTCTCGAATTGTTATTATTATTATTATTTTCTAGCTACCTCCCCTGACATACATTTTAATATCATACCCTACAACACTCAAATTAATCAAGGCAACCATTAGTGTTCCAATTGCAAATTGAAATAGAATTCACTTGGAATTGCCATCATTACATTATAAAGCAGAAGGAGATAATTTTGTTTTTCCAAAAAGGTGTTATTCTGCTTAAAAGGAAGTTAGATAATGAACTTTGGCACTGGCTCTAAAATCCCTGTCTGAATCGGTCTGACTATAAATGAGTCCGGTGTTGCAATCCCGGCAATTTGCTTGCACACGTCACAAATGTCTACTGACAATTATGTCAGGATAGGAAAGCTTCAATCTCACACCCGTTCCCCCCCAAAAAAAACATTTCCAATAAGAAACCTCACCGCTACTAAAAATATATGTTCACAATCCCGTGCTTCCTTCTGAAGGACAGCCTGTTATAATGAACTTCCTTTATCCTGCTCTATATTCTCACGCTCCTTTCCTTACGCCCAAATCCCTTGAAAGCCCCGAGCCGAAGGTACAATTGTTTTTTTTCTTTCTTTTCACAAAGGGCATTTGCATCCCAATTTGACCCTGAAATGCAATGCCCGTTACCACTTCCTGAACATTGTTGGTCTGAGGGATTCTTTTTCATACAATAATTCCTGGCTTCCAATTTTGGAACTTTTTTTCTTCTTCTAAGGACGCACAAAAATATCGCCGGGCGACGATCATTGTAGGGAACCTTAATTCGGTTGAACCAGTGCTGTCATCCTTTTAAATAGTCGGAGAGGATTTGGTGTTGACGGGAAGATGAGCACTTGCACTTTACCATATAGAAAAATAAATCTCTCTCCCCCCTCCCTCCCTGCCTTTCTCTTTCTCTCTCCCTTTCCCCCTCTCTCTCTCCCTTTCCCCCTCTCTCTCTCCCTTTCCCCCTCTCTCTCTCTCCCTTTCCCCCTCTCTCTC